AGAGGGGAGGAGAGAGGGAGAAGGAGAAGGAGAAGGAGAAGGAGAAGGAGAAGGAGAAGGAGAAGGAGAAGGAGGAAGGAAGGGAGAGGGAGAGGGAGAGAGGGGAGAGGGAGAGGAAGAGGAAGAGGAGAAGGAGAAGGAGAAAGAGAAGGAGAAGGAGAGGAAGAGAGAGAGAGAGGAGAGAGGAGAGAGAGAGAGAGAAGAGAGAGAGAGAAAGAGAAAGAGAAAGAGAGAAAAAAGAGAGAAGAGAGAGAAGAGAAAACCGAGAGAGAAAGAGAAAACCGAGACGTACGGAGAAAATAGCTGCCCCTCCTCCCTCTTCCCCTCCCTCCCACCTACCCCCCCTACCCCCCTACCCTCCCTACCTACCCCCCTACCCCCACCTACCCCACCTCCCTCCCCTACCCCTACCTACCCTCCTACCCCCCTACCCCCCCCTACCTACTGTCCGACGCCCCCCGCCATACATAAACCTTCCCTCCAAATACGCCCGCGCTGAATATGTAACCTCGCCCGCCCGCCCGCTGATGAGCCGCCCTCTCGGCTTCTCCCTTACAAGGAGGAGGAGCTTCTTGGGGCGGGCGGAGGGGCGTCACGAAGGAGCCCTTGGGTGCACGGGCGGAGGTGGAGGTGGGGGGGGGAGGGGTTGAGGAGGTGGGGGGAGGGTTGGGGGGAATGGGGGGGTGGGAGGTGAAGGAGAGAGGGTTGGGGAGGGTGGGGGAGGGGTTGAGGAGAGGGGGTTGGGGGGATGGGGTGGGAGGTGAGGGGATGGGGAGAGGGTTGAGGAGGTGGGGGGGATGGGAGGGGGGGAGGTGAGGGGAGAGGGTTGGGGTTTAGGGGAGAGGAGGTGGGGGGATGGGGGGAGGATGGGGGTTGGGGGGATGGGGGTCGAGAAGGGGAGAGGGTTGGGGGGAAGGGGTGGAGAAGAGAGGGCTGAGGAAGTGCGGGTGGATGGGAGAGGGGTTGAGGAAGTGGGGTTGGGGGATGGGATGGGGGGATGGGGTTGAGGAGGTGGGGTGGAGGTGGGGGTGGAGAGGGTTGGGGGGGAGGAAGGGGAGGGGGTTGAGGTGTGGGGAGAGGGTTGGAGGGAAGAGGGTTGGAGGGAAGAGGACGAAATGTTATCTTAGGCTTCTGTTATAAGTTATAGGAGAAAGACGAGAAAGAAATAAAGAGAGAGAGAGAGCGAGAGAGAGCGAGAGAGAGAGAGAGAGAGAGGAGAGAGAGAGAGGAGAGAGAGAGAGAGAGAGAGAGAGAAGAGAGAGAGAGAGAGAGAGAGAGAGAGAAGAAATGAATATATAGAAAAATAGATTAACGAATAGGTACATAGCTGGACAGGTAGATAGACAGATGGATAGGGAGATAGACCGTTGAACTGGTTGTTAGGGAGATGAGTAGATGGATAGATGAATAGATGGATAAATATGTTGATGCGAAATACAGTGCACAGTAAAAAAAGAAGAAAAAAAGAAAAAGAAAGTTTGTTGAAATTTAATTATTTTACATAATATTTCAACAGATGTATACAAAGATAATCAGAATTTATTTTCTTATCATTAATAATTATATAATCGTGTCGGAATTTCAGTTTTAATTTCGGTTTAGCCACTGCGAAAATTACCTGTCTATTTAGTGTATGTTAAACCACTCTTGACATTATTTTTATTTTGATCGGAATTCGGTCAACGTAAAAAAAAAAGAAAAAAAAAAACACCTTGATTCGAGAATTTCTGTGCAGAATCTCAGTTCTGTGAGCGTAAGAAAAACAACAAAAAAGTTTAATCGATTTTGCTTTTAAAACGACGTGGCTCGTAGTTGTTATTCGGTCCAAGTCATAGATGTCAGTGCTTGTGAACTACTTCGAGCTTCGGAAGGTCTGATGACGTGACAGGCGCCCTAATCTGGTCAATAATACCTAAGTCACACCTTCGAATCCGCGCCATTGTGTGCGAGCTAAAAGGGCATCACGCCTGGAGTTACCGCGGGCCTAAATATTTTTTGTTTTGTTTTTATCCCCTATTTTGGAAATAGGACGAAATGAAGTAGAATAATTACGTGTTTCCTTTTTCTTTTTAAGCGTGTGGAAATGTGATTTATAAAGGAAACTGAAGCTGTATATCTTTATTCCAAACAAGATGAAACTGTGAAAATAATGTTCCAAGCATTTCGAAGAACACGTCACGTCATGTCACTTCTGCGACAGGCTGTAACTCAAACAATGACGTCAGTCGTGTCCTCGGATGCAAGGGACCGCGAATATAAAGAAATATAACTCGATCTGCACCACATTTACATCATCACGACTGTTTTTTTTCTCCTGTTAATGTCATTAATTATTCTGTTAGATCCCGATTCTGAAAATGTAAATCAATATCTTTAATTATTCTGTTAGATCCCGATTCTGAAAATGGTAGATTAACGTCTTCGTGTTATCCCTCTTAATACGCCCATTTGACCTGACTTCCTGCTGTGACCTCCTGACCCCTGCTGGCCGTCTCGACAGGACCACCTTACCTTTGTGCTTGGAAGGGAAGGATGGTGGGCGGGGGGGGGGGTAAAAGGTAGTTCAGGGACTCTACATTTGATGGACTGTGTCTACATTTGTTATGCAAATATGGAGAGCGGAGAGTTGAACTGACTGGCTGGGGATGGAAGGCGAGAGCGTGAGAGAGAGAGAGAGAGAGGAGAGAGAGAGAGAAGAGAGAGAGAGAGAGAGAGAGAGAGAGAGAGAGAGAGAGAGAGAGAGAGAGAGAGAGAGAGAGAGAGAGAGAGAGAGAGAGGGAGGGAGGCAGACAAACAGACAGAGAAAGAAAGAAAAAACGGAAAAAACAACAACAGAGAGAAACGAGAAAGAAAAAGAAAGAAAGAGCATTCAACAAAGAGGGAAAGAGAGAGAGGGGAACGAGGAATTTAAATCCCCACGCCCGCCACGGCACATACCTTCCCACCCCAATCCGCATCAGCCCCTCGATCCAATCCTCTTTTTTAAAGGGCGTGAGATACGCGTAGGATGAGTCAGACGCAAGCTTGGGCTCGACGGCACCGCTTGCAAAATGGCTCCTGCGCAAACAACCGCGGCATTATTTATTTCGCGGAGGACAAACAAACTCTGGCCGGGCGTGGAGGACAAACAAACTCTGACCGGGCGGGCGTTGGGGTTCTCACACCGGGCGGAGGACGGGGAGACAAAGGGCGCCACTCACGGACGCCGTCGGGGTGTCAGCGGACGTCACACCGTTGGGGCGGTTGGAGGAGGGGGAGGAGGGGTAGAGGAAAGGGTAACGGAAGGCGGAGGAGGGGGGGGGGAGGGAGGAGGAGGAGGAAGGTAACGAGGGGCGGAGGAGGGAATGGGAGGTGGATAAGGAGATAAAGGAGGAAGAGGAGTAGAGGAGGAGGAGGAGGAAGAGGTAGAGGAGAAGGTAGAGAGGGGTAGAGAAGGAGGTAGAGGAAAGGGTAAACGGAGGGAGGAGGGGGACGGGGATGGAGGAGGAAGAGGAGGACGAGGGAGGAGGAGGTAGAGGAAAGGGTAACAGATGGCGGAGGAGGGGGAGGAGGAGGTAGAGGAGGTAGGAGGGGGTAGAGAAGGGGGTAGAGGAAAGGGTAACGGAGGGCGGAGGAGGGGGATGAGGAGGTAGAGGAGGAAGAGGAGAAGGGGGAGTGAGAGGAGGAGAGGTAGGAGGGGTAAAGAAGGGGGGTAGAGGAAAGGGTAACTTAGGGCGGAGCAGGGACGGGGAGGTGGAGGAGGTAGAGAGGGGGAGAGGAGGAGGAGAGGGTAGAGGAGTAGGAGGAGTAGAGGAGAAGAGGAAGAGGAGGAGGAGGAGAAGAAGAAGGAAGAGGAGGAAGAGGTGGAGATGATAGAGGTGGTGGTCGCTCGAAAGCAGAAGCAGACCCTCCTGCTTCTCCCTAACTATGACCCTCTCCACTGTGCTTCCTCCAACCAACCCCCCCCCATCACCCCCACTAGACGCACCTCACACAAGGCATAGATTTCTCACACTGGCAGGTGGTTTATGTAAGAGGCAACAATAGTCCTTAGTTTAGGTATTGCCTGGCGGAGGAGGCGTCCTGGCATACCTCACCTTGGCTTATGTGCTATTCAACACATACAGGAGTAATGATACCAGGAATTCACGGCGAAATGCTTATGGAGAGGTGTTGTTGCGGCGAAATGAGCAGGAATTCACGGCGAAATGCTTATGGAGAGGTGTTGTTGAGGCGAAACGAGACGATGGAGTGGCGAGGGTGAAATCGTAAGCTCCGTTTTGCAATCTTTCCGCCTTTCCAATAAAAAAAACAAAAAAAAAACTGTTTGTCGACGTAAGAGATTTGATTATTTTCGCGAGCTCGTTGTCTTCGCCGGTGGTTTGGGGTCGTCACTGTTGTCAGCCGGGGAGAAAGAGGCTTCATTTTCACGATTGGTTATTAACGGCGTGTTCGGAGAGCGAGGGGAGCGTGAGGAGGAGAGCTGGCGCGAGAGGAGGGTCGTGATGCAAATGCAGTATATTTGCCTCGGATCGCGTTACACTGTAAGGGGGCTTGCTCAAGCATCCTCGCCGAGAGCCGCCTTCCCTCCCTTCGTCCGCGAGGTTGTCTTGTTCTTCATTTTCCACATGCGAGGAAATCTTATCTTAAAGTTTATTGGTCTTACTTTAAAGCTGCCTGGTCGCTTCCATTGTTATTTATCAATGCCAATCATGCTTTATTATTTTTATTACCACTTATTTATATGTTATATTATTTTTTTACCATTTATTTATACACAACAAATAGAAGACGAGAAGATGAATTCCTTCTCCACCTTGTTATCAAGCCCTTGTTTATCCACTCCCGGGGGGGTATATATTCTAGCACTAAGATACTTTCCTAATGATGCCTAGTTACTATTAAAAGTTAGATAAGTGAATGCCATGAACCTCGCCCACAGCACTTCAACGGCATGGGTTGATATCAAAGACACTCAACGGCACACACAACGCCCACTCACGCCCCTCCCTTTCTTGCAGGGGTGTCAACACTTGGAAGCCACAAGTGACTCCTCTGGCCGAAGTCAAGACGACTCCCGAGGGCATCCCTGTTGCCACGGCGACATCTCTTGCTGCCAACAAGCAGGTAAGCTGTCGCGGGGATCGCTGACGTCTCCATCTAGCTTCTAAGACGATGGATTAATGATTCGCAGTTTGGAATTCCAGGGAGTCCTTCGGCGATGCTGAGACGCTGACTGAGAATCCCTTCAGATGCTTTATTATTTTATTTCCATTGTTCTTTTATTTATCTGTTCATACTGGTGACTTCCTCAGGTGATCTATATGTATTTTAGGTTATTATTCCTCACAAAATAGAGCAAGGATATAGCATTTTGGCTCAACACATAACCGTAAAATCAGGTCCAAAAATAACTTGAGATAAAGGCTTTCAAAGTATTTTTTTCTTAGCTCTCATCAGCTCAAAATTGACAACTGACAAACATTATTAACTCCATTGACACAGAGGCACTGGAAATTATTAATCTCATAAGGCTTCAAAGAATAACTCTTGTACATATACAAACATGAAACGTCACCAGAGAGACAGAATACGAATCAAAACAGGAATAATAACGAAATAACAGCTGTTCTTTATGCCTTTCTATTCTTTATCTCATCAAGTTAGGCATACTTATAGTCAGGCTAACAAGTTAAATAAAGACACAGGGGAATAAAAGAGAGATAAAAGACAAATTGAGAAAGACCCTTTTCTCAAAAAACAGAAAATAATTCCTATAAGTGTGTCCCGAACGCGTAAAAAGTAAATAATTCACTCCTCCCGCGACTTAAGTGCATCGGTTAAAATAATAAAAAAAGACGCCACCTGACAACGAACCGAACAAAACGAACCAAAACAAGACGAGACGAAACGAGACGAAACAGCACCGAACAGCGTGAACCCGAGGACGAAACACTTCTCGAATGACAAAAAAAAAGTGCCCAAGAACAGCAACCTGACGAAGGAAGACCTGATAAGGAAGACCTGATAAGGAAGACCTGATAAGGAAGACGCAACGTGGCCGATGGATCCTTCGGTAAACACACCCAGGCACTTCGTTTCCTTAGAGTGTGTGGTCGTTTATAATAGAAAAAAAAAATAAAGATAAATGTGTTTCTTGTACTAATATTTGTCCGAAACTAGGCATGACAATTTTTTTTTTTTAGTTATATATATATATTTTTGTCCAAATCATATAATTCCATTGTTTGTAAATAGCTTTTATTTGCATGCTCAGATAGAGGAAATTCTTGAGTGAAATAACGCTCCTCTCCCTCCCCCACTAATATTACCCAGCATGCTTTTCGAGGCTGCTTTCGCGACGCAAAAAAAAAGGAAAAAAAGAAAAAAAAAAGTCGAAGTGGCGTTTTTAAACATTTTCCTTTGGTTATTTGTGTTTTTTATTGATTTTTAGTTTTAGAAATTAGTTGTAGATTTGGCTAGTCTTTTCTCTCTCCAATGTAGGTGATGTTTTAGAGTCTGAAAGAAAGGTTTGTCCCCCTTTTTTGTTTTTTATTACTCTAGTGAATAAAAAAAATCCGAAGAAAACACCCCAGAAGCAGCTAGTTTTGAAATAACATTTTATTTTTTCTTGTGTTCCCGATTTTGCTTTCTTTCTTTTTTACTTTTAACCTCCATAGTCGAGTCCCCTGGATAACTGAAGTACTCCTCAATAAAAAAAAAAAAAAAAAACACTAGCTGGCTGCCCCCTGCACTAACCCAGCCCCGTGTGTCTATTAACCCCGTGTGTCTCCTCTCTCCCCCCCCCGCAGCCCGTCCGCCACATCGGCTCCAACCACAACACAGTGGCGCGCCCCTTCCCTGGGTTCACGGGGTCCCAGCCCGCCTATGCCAAGGGCGTGGTCACACTCAACCAGCTCAAGCAGAGCGCCACAGACTCCCCGAGCCTCAATGGCGGCGGCGGCAACACCACGACCTCCTCCTCCCGCTCCTCCTCCAGACACGCCTCCGGGAGCACCAGCCCCACCGGCCTCGCCGTCCAGGGCACGGGCATCTCCCTCAATAAGGAGAACGCCAAAAACTTCCTCAGGATGACGCTGGACAAAGAGAACGTGAACTCGATGAACGTGAACGCGGCCAGCTCGCAGAAGGCGCAGAAGTCCCCCAGCAACGACAACCTCTTCTCGAGCCAGTTCCTGAACAACAACGGGGCGGTCGGCGGCAGCGTCGGCCAGCCCCGCAAGTACTCGCTGGCCAGCAACGCCTCGAGCTGCAGTAGCTCCGACACCGACCACGACGCCCTCACGCGGAGGAATAACGAAGTAAGACGGGAGCGAAGCCCGGCGCCCTAACGTTTCCTCTCCTCGCGGTGGCGGAGAGTGGCCAGGTGGTGTGGGTTTGGGACTTTCATTTAGATTTAGCTCTCCTGTCCAGGTAAAGGGGATTATTATCATTAACCTGAGGTACGTGAGTGTAGGGTAGAGTGACTTCATTTTGCCTTTTGTTATTTTACAGATTTTTTTGAGTCGCGGCGACGACGGGCCGGAGAAATACACTGCGTTTCCATATTGTATATATTTCTAAATAAAACACTTTTATTCCCAAGTACTAAAGATATTCAGAAACTGTAACTAAAATCCTAATTTTGTTAATATAAAATAAAATCCCCCCCTTTCTCTTGTATGACACATAGTAATTGTCCCTTTCCCTGATATCTACCTTAAAAAAAACATCTTGTACTATTCTTTTGCACACATCACACTCCTGAACACTGTGCTTGTAAACTCAGGAGGAACCCAAGCAGTGTGTAGCTCCCCCCCTCCAGTATTTTCTCTTTTCTTGTTTGGTGTCATTCCGATGTCCCCCTTCTTCCCTCCTCCAGCATTTTCTTCTTCTTCTTTTTTTTTTCCTTGTGTAATGAGTCATTCCGACATCCCCTTTTCCAGACCGTTGCTCCCCCTGTCGGAGCAGCTTTCAACAAGGCTCCCGTCCCTTTCGCTGAGGTGAAGGATCCGCTGTGGGGCTTTCTTGCTTTTCGATGTCGTTATCCTGTCGCTGTGGAGTTTGTCTTGAGCTTGTCTCCCCTTCTGCCCCCCTCCCCTCCCGTCCCCCCCACCCAGCCCCCCCTTTTACCGGCTTAGCATGGAGCCTCCATGACCTGTCGTGTTCGTAGTGTTGTCTCTACAAAACTCAAAAGAGATGAAAATAATCAATAAACATTAAAAAAAGGATTAAAAAAAAAGGTTCTGGGACCCGACACCTGTGTGTGCAGTTCCTCCTCCTCCTCCTGCTCGTCCTCGCCCTCCCTCGCCAGCCCTAGAGTCCTGTAGTAGTGTATGTGAGGCGCTGCTCCTGTGTGCCCTTGTTCCGCGTCCTCGTGTAGTGCCCCGTCGCCGCCGCCGCCCTGAGGACGACGCCGCCCCTTGCCTTGTTAGCATGTCAGGGTCAGAGCGCCTGAGCGAGCGAGTGGTCTTGGTAGTTTGGGTCTGACGTCACTCAGCGTCTGCACCGTAGCGATGGCAGTGAAATCTCGTCTGTATATAACAAATATATATATATATATATATTTTTTTTCATGTCATAGTCGCTGCTGCGTAGTGCACATCAGTCTCGATTTTTGTTGTTTTGTATTTTTGGAGAAGAAAACTGAATAATGAGCATAATCAAATGTGCTTTTTAGTTTAATCTCTGGAATTGTACTATCTACGTGACTGTGCATGGTTGGACCACTGGGTCATGGTAATTGTTGATATACACAAAGAATATCAATTACTAATTGAATGCCGAACTCTCAACTTTTCCTCCGACTTTAGCGACTCTTTGAATCCATTAAAATACTTCAAAATAATCTTAATTTATAAAAAAAATATATATCACTTTGTTCCCCTTCCTTTGTTTCTCCTTCCATATATGTAAAAAAAAAAAAAAAAAAAAAAAAAATCTATTCCATTGTGTTACAAATTCAGTCAACTCCCTCCCTGTCTTTCACCCAACTTGACCTCGATCGCCCCCCCCCTCCCCTGGCCCCCCTAGCCACCCCCGAGCAAGGCCACCGCCCCCCAAGCCTACCTCGGGGTCAAGCCGAGCCCCTGACCCCGCCGACGTCTGACCCTTGACCCTCTCCACAGGTGAACGGGCAGCAGATAGTCAACGCGCAGTACAACAGCCCTCTGAACCTGTACAGCGAGGACAACATTGCCGAGACCCTCTCTGCTCAGGCTGAAGTCCTCGGCAAGGGATGTCTTGGGTAGGCCTATGTCACGTTTTTCTTTTTTCTTTTCACGTCTTTCTCTCTCTTGGTCATGTTTTCCGAGTCATTTCTCATTCACTGGTAGTTTCGTGTCAATGTAGATGCTAGATTTTTTTGGATATCTTTTAGAGTAGATATTTTTTTAAAGGTGTATATGTATATATTGATTAGATTTTTTTGGATTAGTTGTCTACAGGGTATGAGTTTTTTTCCTACTCTGGTGTAATTAATTTTTATTTTGAATATTCATAGCAATATATAGGACACTGGATCTCCCCAGATATATATTTTTAGACTAGATGTTTTTTTTTTACCTTCATTTTTCTCTTTACTTTCTTTAATTTTGTTTTATTTTAGTTTAGTATTTTATATTTTGTGGCACGTTCCACTCCCATGCATTCGAGCAGCTCATTTTGGTTAGGAAAAGGAAGACAAAACCAGCATCACTTCAGCTGCGTCTTCGGCTCACTCCCATCATCTCACGCGCCGCCATCTCATCTTCTCTTTAAGTTGTTTTGCTTTTCCTTTCACGTTGAGTCATGCGATGAGAGAAAATGTCATTTTGTGCCGTCACTTCAATTTGCTGACTTTATTTTTTGCACATCTCTGCGCCCATTCACTCTTATGAATCTACTTATCGTGTGTGCGTGTCTGTGTCTGTCTGCGTGTGCATTTGTGTGGCGGCGGGAGCAGCATCAACTTCAAGAAGTACGCGCGAGAGACGGTCATTCAGACGCAGTCGCCCACCTACAAGCTCATCCACGGCGACGAGGACGAGCCCCCCAAGCGCGCCCGCCCCCCGCCGGCGTCGCCCTTCGACAAGAGCAACGAGCCTCCGCCCCCGACCACCGTGTTCGGCCGCCCCAAGCATGCCCCTGCCCCGGCCGTGGCCCCTGCCAAGCCGCCCCAGCAGGGAGAGTCAGGTGACCTGTCGCTCGCCAACCGTTGCATCCACACTCTTCTTTAGTTGTGTTCTTCTTTGCTCCACCAAGCCCCCATTAAGCCTCCTTCACTCCCCTCCCCCCGTGGCTCCGTCAGTGTGCTGCATCCGCCGTGCCGTGTCGAGTGGTGTGCCCTGCATGCCCACCTTCCGCCTGCACACCCTGCCCGCTGAACCCGCGGAGCCGCCCGCAGGAGGCTCAGGTTCGGCCGTTTTAAAGCCCCGTCTCTCTCGGGGGGGAACGCGTGTGACTGCGTGTGTGAGTGTGGCATTTTTTTCAAATCTAAAGGTCATTATTTTCTCTCTCTGTCGTGTTCCACTTTGAGTTTTTTTTTGTGTGCATGCCTGACGCCCGGTCCCTTTTCTCTCTCTCTCCGCCCCCTCCTGCCTGCCCACCCACCACCCGCCCTCCTGTCGCTGGCGCGCCGCCCGACAGAGTCAACTTCATGAAGAACGAGAAGCAATACGACGGCAAGACCTCGGACGTCCTCCGGATGGTGCAGGAGATGGACAAGAACCCTGCCCCGGAAACAGAAGGTGAGGTAGCGAACCTCGCGTCCCCGGACAAGAATGTAGTCCAAGGTTATTCCTTCAAGCTCCTCCAGCAGTCCCTCCAAGGCGACCCGGAACTAGGTAGGTCTGCCAGGACACGGAAGTCATAGTTCGATCACTGAATTCGGGACCGCGAGGATGAACGGTCTTCGGCGCGGCGTCACGGGAGGGCTGCGATCAGGAAATTGGATCAGTTAATCAAAGGAGGTTGGCGATGATATTATCCGGATCCTTTTCATTCACGGGGAACTAATTGGCTGCCATAATGATCGCTGATTAAGAATTGCTCGTCACTCTACGACGGAACAAGAATAAAATCAAATTCAGTGGCCCATAACGTCAAAATACACGAGCAGCAGAAATTACAGAATAATCTAGCTGTCCAGCTGATTGCAATTCGATTTTAGGCAACTGAATACACTAAGCTTGTGAAATTATCACTTCTTTTGTGTATAGTTTCTCTTTTCTGACATTAGATTTAGAGTGAATAACTTTTAACAAAGCATAACATGTATTGCGAAGTCACTTCAATGCTAAAAATATATATATGGTCGAAAACTATCGATATTAAAAGTATTTACTACTATTTAATGGTTTGTCAACCGGTGCAGTTGCAGATCAGCTGGTCAGACGTGTACAGATCACCACAGATACAAAATCATAGATGGAATTAACCAACTTATTACAGTTAATAATATTATTTTCATTGGGATAACTGTTAACAATATGCCATGATTCTCACCTCTGTTCCGAGATATTTTTAACGAAAACTATACACTTTAAATTTAAAATCAAATGACAAAATGCCTAGAGTCATGTTCCAATATTATTTTTTTCTTTCTACTGCCGTAATTATACTCTTCAAAAAAATGAGTCACTGCATGTTTAATAAGCTTTTTTATAATTTCTAATGCTCCATGCGGCACCATTATCATTCTTGACTCTCTATCCTTTTTATTTTTTTGACTTTTGTTGTAATCTGACATTGCGGAACTAATATTGTAATATCTTTTTCATTTACCGTTTATTTATATACATATTTTTTCTCTCTCCTTGATTATCGCTTTTTATATCATTTAATTCTTTTATCTGGTTATTCGTATGATTTATCTACACATTTCACATTAAGCATTTTCTTATGGGTAACGGCTTTGGTTTCGTGTCCTGAGCAAAGTTGGGGAGGCTTGTCCAGCGCCATCTTGAATCGTCATTCTTTTGTTTTTTTCGTCTTCAATTCTCGTTTAGAGATTAATTCACGCACATAGAGACTTATATATGCACGTATACATATATACGTACATGTATATGCGTATATACATGTGTGTGTGTACGTATATATGCGTATTTACGATGCAGTCCCCTCGAATTAGGTTAAAGAGGCCTGAACAAGCGTCCTTGGGTCTTGTAAACGTTATGGCAGTTTCATCATGTGTGTTTCTGAGTTTTATGTTTTTTTTTCTGTCGAACTTTTTCATTTTACATTTTTCATTCAGTTTCGTTTTGTATATTTGTGCATTTTTTTTAAAAGAATAAGTAGTTTTATGTATTTTGCGGTGTAGTATTTGTCACTGTCTGCGTGAGAAAGCATTTAATTTGAATTAAAATAATTATATTTTTTGCCAGCTTTTGATACAGGATTTTTTTTAGAAGACTTACTTAAGATTTTTGTCTTAATTTTCTAATTACTAACCAGTAAAGGTGAATAAATCCTGTAATATTTTCTCGTAGCAAATTTTTCGAAAAAAAATATAAATAATAACTCAAAAGATTTTTGTTTGT